ATTTAAAGTTTGCCTGTGTATCATACACAGTTACCATGTGCTTTTCTTTAAGAAAATACTGTTTTTAATTTGTCATACTTTCTTGTACGTCAATGTTACTGATCTCCTACTGCAGGGGTGCCCACAATTTTTGTGTTAAGATCTACTTTTCAAACGACGGGCTACATGAGATCTACCAACGGAAAAAAAAAACTCCCTCGCTCTCTCTCCTGGCTGTCTCTCCTTGGTCTCTCTCCTGGCTGTCATTCCCCGTTTTTTCTCTTGGCTGTCTCTCTTTGCTCTCTTGGCTGTCTCTCTTTGCTCTCTTGGCTGTCTCTCCTTGCTCTCTCTCCTGGCTCACATTGTTGTATTTTGCAAACAGTGTAGTGCAACAGGCTGTGTAAACTAATATTCTTCGATGTAATACATAGCACTTCAACCACCAGTATCCACCAGAAAGGTGACAGGGAGCTTGGCTCAGCAGAGTCAGGCTAATAGGTAATCAGGTGTGCACAGCAAAATAAATATACCAAAATGGAAAAAAGGGGCCGCCATTTACACCCTTTGTGATCTACCAGCATCAGCTTTGAGAGCTACTGGTAGATCACGATCTACCTAATGGGCACCCCTGTCCTACTGTCTCTTTGGAGCCAATCCCTTTCTACACTCCAGTAATGGCTACATGGCTTTTCTCGGGAGGGGGTTTCTGTTGGTGACAAGGGTGGGAAATGCCTACTTGATAAACATCAGCAATGCCCCTTGTAGTCTACTGGTAGCTATTGACAGGGTGACAACGCAAACGAGACATTACAAAATAGGAACCGTCACCCTATAACATACTATGTGCTGCAGACAGAAACTCCTCGGGCCACTTCACTCAAAAGTTTGACAAGCGAAGTGGCTGGAGGAGTTTCTGTCTGCAGCTCATAGTAACACTTCACATAGTTAGGGAACACAGAAGCCCTACAATATACCGTATTGTGATTAGCTCAGCACAGCAGAGAGTAATGTTGGCTTTTAGTTTCTGTAAAAACACTGAGCTGCAATAGTCCAGAGTGCCGAATACCTAATTTAACAGAAATTGTCAGCACACCCAAGCCCTAAACTGCATATTGCCAACAGTGGTGTCCCACATGTGCCTTTGATTCCCTGTCTATATGATGTTATGAGACATGTGTTGATCTTCCCCATGTAAAGCCTGTTTAATAAACATGAGAGCTCCAGCTTGCAAGTTAATGCTGAGGATGACAAATTATTTCTTGCACCCGTCACTACCAACACACCTGCCCACAGCACCTCCGCTGCTCCCTAGAGGCAAGTCCAGCAAATCCCTCCTCCTGCCTGCCCCTGCTCCACATATGTGTTGGAGATCTGTGATGACATCACAGGACAGAAAAAGAGGAGAATCACTCTATAGGAAAAAGGGAAAATTAACAATTTCTGCTGGGCCATACTTTCTGTAGAGTGAGGTTTGGGGTTGTATTTGATATGTGCCTGGAGTTCAGCTTTATGCTCTATGCAGATGTGTTGAGACTTCTACACAAAATAATTACAGTAACTGACTCCAGATTCAGGAGCTTCCTGAATCTGAGTGGGCGTATTTATACGTCCCGTCAGCCACGCCCACTCGAGCACGCGAGTGGGAAACTGCCACAATTTAAAAACAGGCAGCGATGCCTGTTTACATAAAAGCGATCCGCCGGCTATAGAGCCGGCGGATTGCTTGTATAACGTGCCGATCGTGCGCCCCCCCCATCCGCAGCCCCCCCTCCGCTGGTCCCGAGCTCCGCTGTGCCCGGTGTGAGCCCAGGGACCAGCATGGTGGCTCTGTGACAGGGGATCAGAGGGAGATCGGTACACGATTTCCCTCCGGTCCCCACTCCGGTGTCAGAATGCGGAACTGATGTATATTACATCACTTCCGCATTCTTGTGTCACTCTCCAGTTTCAGAAGCTGGAGAGAAGCTGATGAAGCAGATCTCTGCTTCATCAGCTTTTTTGGGGGTCCCTATGTGACATTAGAGGTCCTGGAGACCCCTAATGTCTCCATAAAGAGGACCTCTCACATCTTTTGCTATCACATAGAGCAGTGCTCCCCAACCTTTTTATCGCCGCGTACCGGTCAACGCGGCCCATAGGGGAGGTGAGTCACAGGACCTGCCCCCTCACTGTGAAGCCCGTCGGCAGTGCGGGGCCCCGATGTTTGAACACCGGGACCGTGCACTGTCATATATTGCATGACCGGACCGTGGCCCGGTACCATTTGATCCACGGACCGGTACCGGTCCGCGGCCCAGGGGTTGGGGACCACTGACAGAGAGGGTTTCTTAGCCCCCTATGTGATAACAACATGACACACACATGAAAAAGAATTTAAAAAACCCCACAACATTTGTTTTAAATTCCCCACCCATACATACACACATGCAAGCATGCGTCGGGTGCGCAATGTGCAAAAACGTTGATTGCGTCGATTACGCCTCACGTTACATTTCGCCGCGGACATTGCAGCGAGAGCAATAATTCTAGGGCCATCAATCACTGATGACACTAAACTGATGAGCGGTAAAAGCTTTTAAACGTTGCCTATGGTCAATTTTGGGTCTGGTAGTTTTTTGCGATTTCGCGAGTGCGAGCAATTTTAAAGCTTGACATGTTTGGTGTCTATTTTACCAACGTGACCCCGTCTTTTATGTTTTACCAAAAATATTGATTGTAATAATTATGGTTTGCTAGCATAATGTAAATAAAAAACGTAATTTTTTTCAAATTTTCAGTAATTGTTCCTTAATATAGTAAAAAATAAAAAATAAAAAACAAAAGAAAGCGCTATCTGTCCCCCAAAAATTGTATAAAATTCATTTCACTACAGCGTTGCATGACGGAATAAACGTGAGTTAAAGTACCGCAGTGCTGAATACTGAAAAATGGCCTGGCCAGGAAGGGGGTGTAAACACCTGGTCTTCAAGTGGTTAATGATGTGTTTAATCCATATTACCCTGCTATGCCCCTCTCAGAGTCTAAAAATCTGGAATGCCCCAAAGTTGGGGAAGTAAGTTAAAGCTGTTATTTTCTGAGAAAAAGGTCCAAAAATAAAATACCTTTAATAAGGCTGTGATAAACACTCCATAAATTGTATGTTTTTGTAAGATGAACAAAAAAATCAATTAACCTAAAAGTTTCAAGTATTCCAATTTCATATTAAAGAACATAGCTAAGAAGTAAAAACAAAGATAAGTGCACGCTGCTGATGAAAATTGAAACTCGATTAGAGTTTATTAAGATAGTACAGAACACAAGAATTGAGTGACCTAATTTCATGTTTTGGCTCTCTGTTCTGCAATAATATCTTAACTACATTATTATTAAGTAAATGTTCAAACAGTAATTACCTGGTAAACAGTGGCACGCAACGTATCTGCAGCTTCTATCTCCCCATTATTTTCATAGGCCGATTTGTCTAATATAGTTAAAGTTCCCAGGTAGCGTGACTTAGCAGAATTCGGTCTTCTGTGCTTGAATGACTTTTTGTTTTGTTCAGCAGCTATAGATCTATTGTATAAAAGAGACGGAGTTTGCGGATTACCTACAATTGTTAAAGCAAAACTTCAGCCAAACAGCTGAATACAATTATACTGTATACAAACTTGTGTATCTGGCAAAGTATTTGCAATAATGCTCAGCTACTTTAATGATTCATGCACTGCTGTCACAAAGTACAGCCAGGAGGGTGACACTGTAAAAACTGGGAAAACAAAGTGAAAATATCCAACCCACCAATTTTTGTTTTGTCCCCCAATGTTTTTTTGTTTTAATACATTACACCTCATACATTCTCAGGCTGACGATCAATCCCGCCAAAGTAGTTTGCAAAAAACAATGGCATGTGCATGAAGGAACACAAACTGGACAATTATCCAAAGTACTAACAAAATATATAAAAGACAAGCTTTCGAGAGTTAACCTCTCTTCTTCAGGTCAGAAGCAATAATAATCAACATGACAACGGTTTACCACTTACCACAAGATAAATTTGTTAGGGAGGGGGGGTGAGTGGGGTGTCATAAATGTTGGACCTGGGAGTAAAGAATGTATCCTGATAACTAGAACACAGAACAAATAAACATAGGATTAGCAATAAATCCTAAACAGATCAGGGATATACAACATACATGAATATTATTATGTTCTGTATATTCATAAAAAGTTCTGGTAGTGTGTAAGAAAACCAGAATCAACATTAAGTCCCTCCTTTATGGAATTAAAAAGGAAAATCATTTTTATTTCGTATGTTTTTCTTTCATGAGACGTTTTAAAATTCCCTTTCAGTACTTTAATATTGAGGTTTTGGATGGAGTGATCTTTCTGGGAGGAGTGATGTCCTACAAAAGTGCAATATTCATTTTCTTTGTGGTTCTTGATCGAGCTCCTGTGTAGGTTCATCCTGAGATGCAGCTTAAGGCCAGTTTCCCCAATGTAACAGCCTTTGTCACATGCTGAACACTGTATCATATAAACCACGTTAGCAGATGTACATGAGTATGATCCCTTAATGGTGTACATTTTGTTGTTGTGACTCGCTGTACTCGTCACATATATGTTGGCAAAGTTTGCAGCGGGTTTTTTTTGCATTGTACTGCGCCATTCTGTGTCCGTTCCTCTTCTGGGATCAGCTTACTGCGTACCAATCTTCTCCTCAGGTTCAGTGGTTGCTTGAAAGCCAGTATTGGGGGCTGAGGGAAAATGTCTTGAAGTATGGGGTCTTCTGAGAGTACTGGCTGTAGATCTTTGATGATTTTGCGTATTACCTCTAAAGTGGGGTTGTAGGTAACTACAAGAGGGGTCCTGGTTGGGTTATTCTACTCCTTGTACTGTAGGAGTCTTTCTCGTGGTGTTTTTAGGGCAGATTCAATTTTTTTGGATATAACATAATAATATTCATGTATGTTGTATATCCCTGATCTGTTTAGGATTTATTGCTAATCCTATGTTTATTTGTTCTGTGTTCTAGTTATCAGGATACATTCTTTACTCCCAGGTCCAATATTTATGACACCCCACTCACCCCCCCTCCCTAACAACTTTCTCTTGCTTTAAGTGGTAAACATTGTCATGTTGATTAGTATTGCTCTGACCTGAAGAAGAGAGGTTAACTCTCGAAAGCTTGTCTTTTATATATGTTGTTAGTCCAATATTTTGTTAGTCCAATAAGAAAGGTATCATCGCATACTACAATACTCCGTTTTGTTATTCATCTTCTCTACTGGACTAATACGGCTTACCCATTTACAGTATACACACAAATACTGTATTTTTCCGTGTATAAGACTATACTTTTTCATAAAAATATTTACCTAAAAATGGAGGGGCGTCTTATACATGGGGGGCCGAGAAGAGAACCGCAGTTTCGAAACTACCGATACCGCAGCAAACTAGCCTCACGAGTGAAACTTCCGATTGCAGAGACAAGCTAACAGGTTTCCTCCAATCAAGAGCTTTATGTACCCGAAGTCAGCTGATGCTGCAGGGAGCCTGTAGCCAGTGCCCAGATGTAACAGGGAGCGGTAATGTCGGAGCATTCTGAGCCCATAAAATGTCAGAAAACAAAAAAAACCCGGTAAATACAAATACCAGGAAGAGACTGTCTTACTCTGCAAAATTTAAACTGGATGTAATCAGTTATGCAAAAGAGCATGGAAAATATTGATTTCTGAATTTTTTGTAGGCAAAATCGTTATAATTAGCTATAATTTCGCGCTGAAGTTGCTAGAGGGCCAGACCATTATAAATAGGGAAGCAGGTTGTTTACCACGACAGTAGAAGTGATTTTTTTCTGAAGATATGGGTAAACAACGCGATTTAACAGCCTTTGAACGTGGGATGATTGTTGGCGCTCGGAGCCATGGAGCGAGTATCAGCAAAACAGCAGAATTTGTTAAAGGAGAACTATGGGGGCTTTTCCCCATAGTTCTCCTTAGGGTAACGGGAGGACACAAACTAGCGTCCTCCCGTTACCCTAAGCTCAGTATACCGCGAGCTACAGGTATACGAGGTATACATCGATGTCGAGATCTGCCCAACTGCGTGAGTGACAGCTGGCTATGCCTATCTAGGGCAGAGCCAGCTGTACCTGGGGCACATGCTCCCCTTTGCTTCAGCACTGCCCCCAACCACCCCCATGTCTCACACTGTGCCAATATTACCTGGCTTCTCCCCACTTCCTCCGTGTCCCGCAGCCTGCTCAGTCGAAGTACTGACGAGATGCCCCGCCTCCTGCAGAGCCCGCACTGTACTGAGAGCCGCGCATTCCTTGTGACAGCTGCTGCTCGAGTCAGTGAGACTGAGTCGGACCAGCCTGCACGGCATCAGAGGGGTCCGGGGGGCCAATTGCAGACCACCAAAATTTTCTCGCGGACCACCGGTTGGCGACCGCTGATCCAAAGCCATTATTTAGTTTTGTAGATGCAAGTAGATTGAATTACCCCATTTGATTCTTATATATATATATGGGGGACTGTGGTGGTTAGACCAGTGCAGCTGTTTTCCTAGCTTCACCCACTGCTGCTGGGCTTACAAAGATGTTCCTCTCCTGCTAATGCAGTCTTCATTTATTTTACAATATGGAGAATGCAACAGATAGAATGAGACTCAGACTTCGTAGGTGGGAGAACCGAAAACTTACTGAAGACATTTCGATATTAAAGACTTGGAAAGATTAAGAAGCCAGTGACTTATTCAATCTATAAATGTCTATCTACTGTCACAATATACACCAGCAAAAGGACATACCGTAGTAGCTTTCAGGACATACACTGAGTGACCAGATTATTATGACCACCCCATCAGTACTTTGTTGGGCCACGAGATGACTTAGTTGGGCCGCCTCGTGACCCCACGAGATGTTGAAAGGTGATGCGAGGAATCTGACACTGCACTGTTGCCCTTCTGTTGTCTTGTACCAGTCTTGCCACTCTCCGTTCTGCCCTAACATTGACTAGTCGCTGATGGCCACAATTCGCACGTTCAGACCCAGCTGACAGTCCAGTCTTTAAACACTTTAACAACAGCTGCTCTTGAACATTTAACAAATTCTGCTGTTTTGCTGATACTGGCTCCATGGCTCCGAGCGCCAAAAATCAACCCACGTCCAAAGGCTGTTAAATCCCCTTGTTTACCCATATCTTAAAAAAAAAAAAAAATTCTACTGTTGTGGTAAATAACCTGCTTCCCTATTTATAATGGTCTGGCCCTCTAGCAACTTCAGCTCAAAATTATAGCTAATTAGCCTACAAACGTCAGGTGGTCATAATAATCTGGCCACTCAGTGTATGTTTTGCTGGCAATATCTAGTAAAAAGCCAGCAATTTGTTTACTAGTCAAACAAGGAACCATTTTAAAGACCTTTCGTAAGGTAAGCATGTTTTGCTGTAATCACTGTGACACTGGACAACATAAACAAGAATCAGGAGCATAAAGTAAACTAGTGATGTTCACAATAAAGATCCATTAGTAATCTATTTAGTTAAATGCAGCTGATAAAAATCTGCAGCAGACAAAACAGCAACAGATGAATAATTGATGCTGTGAGTGCACAGAGACTGCTTTCATATATATTTTATTGCATTCACATCTTATAGGAATTGAGGTTGACATGTACATTTATTTCACAGTTTGTTAAGTTGTAACTGTTTCGGGTACTTATCAGGCAAGCATCAACTACAGAAGTTTAGTCATGCACAACAGTATTCATGGTTTAATTGGAATCTGTCAGAAAAGGTGTGACCGGGAACAGATGAAGCTTCCACTGCCCAGCCCCAGTTGCAGTGCTAGTTATGGGGCACCCACACAAATGTGCATGAGGCTGCCGGACTCTGGGCTTAGTTGCGCGCCGGACTCTGGACTTAGTTACACGCCGGACTCTGGGCGTAGTTGTGGCGCCGGACTCTGGGCGTAGTTGCGTGCCGGACTCTGGGCTGGGCTTAGTTGCGTGCCGGTCTCTGTGCTTAGTTACGAGCCGGACTCTGGGCTTAGTTACGCGCTGGACACAGGACCCACCTGTGACCCCACACAGCCCACCTAAAAGTGACCCTGCAGAGCACACCATACATGCTGCACAGCCCATCTGATACTCTCTATGATGGGCTGCAGTGGTCCCAGGTGGGCTGGTTGGGGCTGCATCTCCCTCCCAGCTCCTCTTACCTGCTCCTGCTGGTGGTGCCTGGACTCCCCTGCCGCCGGACTGGCCAGAAGTGACGTGATCCCCGCTACCTCTGGCCACTCGTCTGGGTCGCTGTCAGACTAGGATAGTGATGGCGAATGTTTTTGAACCAGAGTGCCCAAACTGCGATGCAAAATCAATGTATTTATCTCAAAGTGCCAACACTGAAAATAACTTTAGTATTGTGTTGCAGTTCGGGTGCTCAGGTTTAAAAAATGTTCAGCATCATCACCGCCTCAGACAAAATAGGGAAACACACATATTCAAATATTTATACACTCATTAACTACTTGCTGCCCGGAGCAATTTCTTACATTTGCACTTTAGTTTTTACCTTTTTTTTACACACCGGTTTATTGCTATCACATAGCGGGCTAAAAATCCCCATAGTAATAGCACATATAATGTGACAGGTCCTCTTCATGGAGACATCATGGGTTCTTCATACCCCTAATGTCACCTAGGGACTCCAAAGAAGCTGATGAAGCAGAGATCTGCTTCACCAGCTTCTTCTTCTGGCTCTAAGGGTTGGTCCACACAACTTGCAATGCGTCCCGGCCCGATTTTGGCCGGAACGCACTGCATCACATTGCGTCCGGCTCAATTTTTGCCGGGTAGGAGGGGGAGTGGCGGGCCATTGAAGTGAAGCCACGCCTTCCGGCCACAATGTGATCGCCCACACTGGATCGCAGGGCACATTGTGCCTGCGTCCCGATGCAGCATTTTGACCGCAGCGGATGTGCCCTGCGATCATGTGCGGGCGATCACATTGCGGCCGGAGGGTGTGGCTACGGCGCCATTCACTTCAATGGCCCGCCACACCCCCTCCTGCACGGCACAAAAGTGAGCCATCTGCAATGCTTTCACGAGGGACAGATGAGCCCAGGAAACTGACGGTGGCACCGGCGGCCATGGAGGAGGGGGGGCACAGCTCTGCACCGTAAATGCGATTCAGCGCCTGTACAGACACCGGATCGCCTGTATTTAAACAGCAATCGTCAGCTGTTTGACACGGTACAAGAACATGGCTTCAGGAGCAGCCGTGTTCTTGGTATAACCACTTCCAGCGGATGATGCACAATTACAGTATGTGAACCCGCGGGAAGTGGTTAAAAAAAAACAAACAATAAAAAACGCACGTGTAATGAAACACACACATATCACCCACACTCATTTAAAAACACACACACCTAGCTTCATTAAAAAAAAAAAATCACACACATTCATTAAAACACACACAATAAAACACACACATTAACAATTAAAATAGTTATTTAAAAAATGTCCCCTCTCCTGCTTACCTGTTTTGCAGGAAGGGGGGCTGCATCCCTGGGTCCAGTGGAGAATCAGTGTGGTCTGCACTCTGACTGATGCAGAACATACTAATCGATCCCTGACAGTTAGCAGAGGCACCACGAGGGAGCGATCAGTATGATCTGCATCAGCAAGAGATGCAGATCATATTGATTCCCCACTTGACGACCAGGGCATGATTTTCATTCAATATATTGCCTGTTCGGCAATATATTAAATGAGATGTGGGCGCTTGCCAGGTTAAAGATGGTCGCCGCTACTCATGGCGGCCATCTTTAAAAAACTAATGTATAGTGGAGAGACCCCCTGGGGACACCGGAGGAGGCATCCCAGGTGAGGGTCTGGAGCGTGCGGGCCCCGGCCACATCCTGGCATGTCACTTGTACGGCCGATACCCATGTAAGGTGCCCCTTACATCAATATCGGCCGTACCCCCTGACAGCGGCCCTGCCAAAGGTGGACCAGGGGTTAAACTAATATATAGAAGGGTTAAGGGGATAGTAAGTGTTAGGATTGGATAAAGGGGTAGTTTGTGGGTGGCCTTGGGGTAGGACATCACTCTCTGAAAGAAGATCTCTGCACAGAAAACTAGCAGCATTGACTTCCAGTAGGTAAAAGCAAATTTATTTTCCAGAGCTGATCCTTTTACAGGGAATGAGACAAAATATACCAGTTTCATTTTAAGTGCCCTTCAGTAGCGCCAAGCATAAGGCATCACTACTGACAGAGTATGGGGATTCTAATAGACTCAGCTTTGCAAGTGTGTTAGGGTGCAACGCATATGCCCCTATCTTCTAGTTCAGGGGTAGGCACCCTTGGCTTTCCAGCTGTGCTGAAACTATAAATCCCATAAGGCATTGCAAGCCACAGGCACGACTCCCAGAGGCAGAAGCATGATGGGATTTGAAGTTTCAGCACAGCTGGAGAGCCAAGGTTGCCTACCCCATTCTAGTTAATGGTTGTGGACTGTGTGATTTCCCTAGAGTCAGCAATCTCCTTTTCTGTAACTTCATTAATCATTAATCATTAGAGATGGGTCAAAATGTCTCAGACATGCTTTAAATGTCTTTCCTATATGATCCATGGGGGTGGTCTAGGCAAGATCCAGTCATCTTATCAGTTGTTTATCTTATTAGCTGTGTTTCCACTTTACCATCACTTATGTCAAATTTTTTACATATGTTAGAAGCAGAGAGGTAAAGTAGCATCAGAGGTTATGGGTAAAAAAATTGGTAAGTAACAACAATGACTGACCTTAGCACCACCTTTGGGACATTTGAAAATTAAAGATATATATATATATATATATATATATATATTTTTAAAACGTATATTATATGTAGTCAAAGTCAGATTATCCAGAAGGCAACCTAAATAGGAGCCTAGGACCCAGTGGGTGCCAGGGGAATGGCACAACTGGTCAAAACTGTGCACCAAAGCAGAATGCACTGCACTTGTTGGCAGTTGGTGCCTGATAGCAAGTACAGACAGGGTGAATTGGGCAGCTTTTCTGTTACCATTTAGAGGTGTGTAATAGGCTACAAGTAATAAAACAACACCCACATATATGAAGATTTTCAATAGTGTGTATATCCCATAGAACACCAATGACGAAAGTGGAACTATGGTGAGATAAGGGCCCTACAAAGGATCAACATAAATGTTAAACCACTTTAAAATAGCGTGCTTTTAAACTGTGCCCTTGGAAAATAAATACCTTTGCTTTTAAGCACAATACCATTAAAAATGTAAATAAAGATAGGATAATATTCGTGTTGCATATTCCCTAAACACAACTGCTCCAGTTTGAAAGTATGTAAATAAAGCAATTACCTGCTTGATTGGGATGTACCTAGTTTCATAAACTCATCTGTCTTCTTTTGAAGATTAAGCTGGAAATACAATGTTAATTGTTATAATATACTCATATTAACAAATGGCCGTGCTTTGTTAAAAAAAGCAAATAGTAAAATCTTTCAGATATCTCAAATGCAGCCCTTTAATTATAATTCTAATAAATAGAAAGTATATTTTGTGAATACATACTTTAAGTTATTATTGAAGCATTTAACTTAAAGTAAAGGAAAATAAAACAAAGCTTGCTCTCCCATGTTGTTGATAATTAACAGAGTATAATGATTTGCAAATTAGCCACCAGAGGGAACTCTCAGGGGCTTATTGCAATTAGGCCGGCTATACACAGCTCGAAATCCAAGCCATGGGTTGCCCTGTCGAAGGAGTCAGTTGAAAAATTGTCACACAATTAGATGCAGTCACTGTTCGGGTGTTCAGACATCAGGTGTCGGCTCTTTGAATACAACAGCCAGAAGTGGAGATTCCTCCATCCACGCCATTTAACGTGTATGGGGGAATCAACTGATTCATCTTGTTCAGTTTATGGGGCAATCTAAGCATGTATGGCTAACATTACTTTCAGTCTTTCTTAAGAACTGTTAAGCTACATAGAGAATTCATTGTTTTCAATGGGATGAGTCAACCAGCTCTTAGGCTTGCACTGAGAGGAGGAACAGTAGAGAACAAGCATTTTGTAGCACTGCAAACAGAAAGCAGAGTATAGTGTAATGGCACAATATGGCTTGTAAGGCCCCCCCTTTCTGTTGCCAGGAGATTTTCCTGTCAGCCTGGTCTACCGCGATAGGATATAAACGGGAAGGTGGGTGGAGTTGGGAGTGGAGTGTGACCCGCGGAGAAGGGTTTCCCTGTCTGGTGGGGCTAAAGAAAGCAGAGCCCGCATCTGTGATGGTACGATAAGGCTTGTAGGGCCCCTTTTAGAGAAGGCCCCACCTTTCTGCCATAAAATGGCAGGTGAGTTAAGTTAGGAGTGGACTATGATCGATGGAGAAGGGTTACCCCATCTTTGGGAGCTGAGAATGGAACTGTACCACTGTGCATGAGTAAGCTGTCTTGACTGCTGTAAGGACTGTCATGGGGAAGAAGCTCCCCTCCAGTGACTGTTGTCTGAGTTTGTGAAGCGAGTCCTGTGCTTTATGTTTTGTATATAGGCCTGCGACCACTCGAAACTAAGAAAACCCAGAAGTCTCTAGGAGAGTGTTAGTCAGCCTGTAGAAGGAGGCCTTACAGGGTTTCCTATGTACAGATCATACATAGATGCAAGACTTTAAAACATTAAACCATATTGATAATATTATTTACATCTTTTTTTCTTATTATTTAGATCTTGTTCATATGTGTCTGCACTACAAGGAAACTTGTCTTGAAAGAAACTGAAGGCCTGCCACTAATGGCTGTCTTCTGAACATACTAGTTATACTAACCCTCTGGCTTTAATACTGATTCACCTACCCTGAATTAGAATAGATGAAAGGCAGATTAAAGCGACACTAAACTCAGGAGTTAAATCTTAAAACTACATTCAAGTTCCTAACCATTAACAGAAATGTATCTTATTTGTGTATCACTCAGCTGGAGATCCTCAAATCATCTCTGAAATCATGCTGACACTGTCCTTCCTCCTATTGGGTGGCTACTATTGTTCCCCATGGTCCCTATGTGTGTTGTAAAGTAGTCACCACTCCAAGTTCACTCCTGTGATGGACTACAATCTCATGTTTAGTTTACTAATTTGTATTGAGATTGTAGTCCATCAGGGGAGTTAGTTTGGAGTGATGCCTACTTTACAACACACACGTGGACCATGGTGAACAAAAGTAGCCACCCTCCAGAAAGAAGGACAGTGTTAGCACAAATTAAGAGATAATTTGAGGATCTACAGCTGAGCGATACACAAATAAGAGCCATTCACACCAGGACGGTTGCAGATCAGCGTGGTTACTGCACTGATTTCAAACGGGAGGTTTTGGCAGTTTTTTATTGCGTTTCAGCTCTGAAACGCAACTAAAATCGACCAAAGCCGTGCTGATCAGCGCTTTTCCATTGAAAGCTGTAAGGAAACTGCACTGTTCCCCGCAGCAAAAATAGTGCAGGGAGCAGTTTGGGCGGGGGGCGGTTCGGATCGCATTGAGCCGCGCTGTGGCATGAACGGTCCATATAGCATTGTATGGGATCGTTCACGTCGACAGATTAGTACGGCCAAATCCGTGCAGCTGAACCGCCCCTGTGTGAACAGGGCCTTAGATACATTTTTGTTCATAGTTAAGGTACTTGAATGTATTTTTAAGATTTAACTTCAGAGTTTAGTGTCACTTTAAAGTCAAAATTCCTTATCCTTATGCCTGTCTAGATCAGAGGCCCAAAATATTGAAGCAAGGGTTAGTATAACAGCCTGGCAACTGGTATTTGCAGAAGGAAAGGATTGCTTAGGCCGCCTTTCCTTTCCACTCATTGCAGGTTTTTTTCAGCAAAGCTGTTGCCTTTTAGGACAGATCAGATTTCCTTTAACACAGGGTGGGCAACTCTGGCCCTCCAGCTGTGCTCTTGCTACAAATCCCATGCCTCTGGGAGTCATGCCTGTAACTGTCAATCTTGCAATGCCTCATGAGACTTTTAGTTCCACAATAGCTGGCGGGCTGGAGTTGCCCACCCCTGCTTTAACACATACAGATAAGGTTATTGAAATTTAGCTAAATAACTTGTATGTAAAATAAAATACAAATAAAAAAGGCAATAGGTCCTCTTTAAAGGCTAAGTTTACCTTTCTGACCTTGTTTTATGTTACACTCACATTTAGGGTGTAACATAAAATTGCAGCCCCCTCCAACCCCCACTTACCTAAACTGAGGGGTTCGTCTCCCCGCAGGCTTGTTTACAATTTTGTACCTAGACATTGCTTTTATGAAGAAGCGTGTATTTATTATCTTTTAAAAGCTGAAATTGCCTGTTAAAAGAACAATACTATCTATATATGAGTGCAGTGAGCTGATTGCCTGTCCCCACTGCTCTCCTCGTCACTGCCTCCGGTATTTAGCGACTGGCATCTATCTTCTCCTAAGATTTCATGTCATGGTATGGTATTAAAAAGAAACAAATACATCTCATGCCTACTCTGGCTTCACATTTAAAGGGAACATTTATTTTGTGCATTTAAATCCATGTAAATATGAATGTAAATGTGACTTGCTTAGTCTAAATAATGTAATCAGTATATGCAAATGTTTTATAAATCTTTCTTTATTTTATAGCTGTTACATCTCTATGTAGATTTGTTCAGCCGATCACAGATGAGATTTTGCTTTTCTTTTCTTTTTATCTCAGTGTAAGACCTATATAATTCACTGAAACACCATGTGCCCTTAGTGGCCTACCCTATAACTGATTTTATGCCTGAAAGCGTTCTTTTGACAGGTCTTTTTTTTATTGTTTCTGTGGACTGTCAAGATTTCAAAATAAAAAAGTAAACATGTAAAGGGTTATTCACAAAGCTAGGAGAAGGACCAGCCAAAGCTTCGCCTGATCCTTCAGCTTGCTTCGGTTGCGGGAGCCCTTTGGTTCAGTCGAACCAAAGGGCTGCTGTACGGTCTATTCACTAAAGCCCGTACAGCTGCCGAAGGCATATGCTTTGGCTCGACTGAGTCGAAGTGACAGCCGAAGAGGGGCGAACCGTACAGCTAGCCGTACACCTCGCAAATGACAGTTGGCGGAGCCAGCCATGATTTTTTTTTTAAACATTTATTTTTTTATATTTAACATTTATTTACATTTAAAAAAATATTTTTTCAACTTTATTTAATTTTTGTTACTCTTTTCATTGAATTGCTATTCTGCTTGGTACCACAGCATTCGGCTATTCACTCACTGCCGTTCGGCTCCTATGTGAATAGGGGCGAACGGCAGCGAGTAAGCTGAGTCGAGGTCCTTCTGCACTTCGGCTCAGCGGGACATGCAGAGCATGTTCAAGTAACCCAAGTGCAGCCGATGTACGGCTTAAATCAGCCGTACTTAGCAGAAGTGAATAGCTGAACGATGTTTCTGCAACAAATTTTCGTTGGTAAATATCGTTTAACTCATTCAAAATTAACACAAATGTTGTATGTGAACGAATCCGAATACCAAAACAAATTGACTTTTGGATCCGAATCCTGAAAAACGAAAATAACCCGAAATTAAACTAAACTAACCAAAACACATTTTTTTCACAGCTGACATGTCTATTAAAATGTTCCTCTGATCTTAAACGTGCCACAGTGTATTTTCTATTCATGTATATGTGCTTGAAACATTTACAGAAATTCCAACAACTTCCGACAACACATTAACATATGCGCTGGTATGCTTACCTCGTTCTGTGAATGTTTGTTACCAAGGATTTTATCTTGCTCACTTGAGTTGTAGATTTCACGAGTTTCTGAGAGGCAAACATCTTTGTTTTTTTCCTGAACAGACTTTTCCTTTACACTGGTTAACATCATTTGAAGAACCGAAGGGGGATCTTCTTCACTAACATGTGACTCAGTGTTCCTATGTCCATCAAATTCTCTGATCTTGAGAGCTAAATGAAATGTTTACCAAAAGAAACGTTCATTGTTCAAAAATATTTCACTTGACTTGTGATGTAAAATCCCAATAAGGAGGATCACGGTTTATGATAATCTCATTGATTAGTTTACTGAAGTCAAGTTTGCGTAAGCTCCTAGCAATAAACAGGTTTGAGCTTTTATTTCTAACCAGCACTAGAAATATGGCCACTGGCATCTCTGCTGAAGGCAACACACACTTTCCCTACAAATACTTTTAAAGCATGAAGTCTTTCATTCCACCTTTGGTCCTTTGTACAGCTTACAAAAATCCAATATAAGGTTGCCCATAGACATTAGTAAATAAATAATTCAAAGGATGTTTCTTCCATTTGTTAAGCAAATAGTCATGCATTATTGTATCTTACAATGTATCAGAAACCCTCAGAGCCAGCACTTATCAATGGAAAACACTAGACTATCAATCAAATCATTCCAGCCTTGAGGCCTGATCTACCCTATCAGCAGGGGATGTATGTATGGTTGAAAACACTTATCTGAAGTTATCTAAAATTAGGAATATTCCTACACCAGGTTTCCCAGGTAAAATGGTAGGGTAGCAATACACACTGCAGCTGCATAGTTGGTATTTGTATTCTCAACAATTAATGCAGAGGTCATTTGCAAAATTGATGCTAATCCACTATCAACTGCAGACGATCTTTTATAATTTTTTGGTTAGGTATGTTCCTGCTTATATGTTTAATCTGAATTATATATGGTCCAATCATGGAAAAAAGAGACACAAAATGAAAAGAGTGGAATGACTTCACACATAGTGGAGTACATACCGGATAACTGTAGTCATCTATAGAGAAGGATATTATAGTCTCAGTATGAGTTGTGTCTGTCGGTTAGCTTTATCCCAACTGACAAGGTTTGCATAAGAACAGAAGTTATTCAGTGACTTCCAATGTAAAGCCCTAAAAATAAAAGTGCCTATAGAAAGAAAAACGATGGAACTGCACACCAGAATTGACTAAATAGCTATAGGCACAAGGCGGGAATTTAACATAAGTGCAGCAGACAGAATCTGGAGCAGATGTTCTTACCAACCAATCAGTCTTTATCTCCAGCTTGTTTAGTTAAGCTGTAAAAATTAAGCTGATGGGTTGCCCTGTACCGCTGATCCAAATACTCTCTGCTCCAGTCTTAGTAAATCCTCCTCAATGTGTTCTATGCAGACATTCTGACTAAGGAATCTCAGGAAAAGTTTAGGTCGGTCAGGTTGGATTATGCTTGCTTAGGCGGTATTCCAATTCATGTTTATGCACTGATATCTCTAACAGTGCTTAGAAAAGTGGCTTTGCATAAAACAATGATAAACTGAAGTTTAAAGTGTTGCTCTGCGCACACCCCTGACGAGGCATCCCTCCACTACCAGTGCGCTTTACATTTCCTAAACCGATAAATACATTCAAACTACTGTTACATAGACGGCAAAAGTGACAGACGGGGGCGGGGAGAATCCGGGGAAGAGGCAGAGCGGGAGGGGGGCCAAGTTGCCGCACCATGGGCCTCTGGGTTGTACTTGCCCCCTGGGCTAAAAGTTGCCAGTCAGCCCCTGCTGTTAGCATATACAAATGTAGTGTACATACAAACTCCCCATGTAAGCTTTCATTTATGTGCAAAAAGAAAGCTTATGTTTAGTTTGCTTCTGTGAGAATGTTTCAGGGTGAATCTTGCATGCCAACTATGTTCCAAAAATATAAATGAAAAAGTCTACTTGTAAGCTGAGCATGTTTTTCAGTCAAGACATTGGACATCAAATTAAACAGAACAAGTAGTGTATTGATGGCTTATTGATGGACTATGCTTGGAAATGCTTCATGGGTATTAAAGGAGATCACTACCTGAAAGTGTTTTGTTTACTTATTGTAAAATTCTACTTATGATTAGAAATGATTTTATCTTTATGTGAAAGGAGAATCAGTATAATACAATGCATTTTCATGCAACCCTCTGACTTCTTTGGTTGCCTGTAATGTGTTATGTTAGATAGCAGCAGTAAACCCTAGTGCTAAAATATCTTCTGCTAAATAAAGCACATTGTAATGTATTTGTATTCCAGTAGAGCTACATGGTAATTCAAATCCATTTGTCAACAGGCAACATTACATTGATATTCAGTGATATCAGCAGGGTGACATACAGGGCAGGCTCAGCTGATGTTAAAACACATTACATACACATATGACAAAGCCTGTAAAATCATGGTAACAGGCCTCTGAGGCAAACCTAATTTTATAAGGAAAAACAGAAATGGTTGTGTTGCATTCAAGTCAAATACGGCCATCATACTTTTGGACTGTCTAGCCAAACTTTCTGATATTTAAATAAGCAACGTTAAGGTAGAGAAGGTTCAGTGATAGGCTATTTCTTCTGATTTTTAGTCTTTTAGATTTAGTCCAAAGCAACCTAATCTGTCCTGTTATAAACACTTCCAATCTAACAAGAATGTTCCAAGATAGCAAGCAATTTAGCTGCAAGTTTGAAAATGACTTGCCAAGCTTCACAATTTTGTTGCACAATTACAACAAGTCGGCATTGCAACTCTCCAGATCAATGTGCTTTGCAAAAGTACTGTACACTTGCAGAGCTCTTGCTAAGACCTGCAGGACTCTTGCTGTAGACTTACCAAGCAAATTTGCTTCAAATTCAAAAAGTGTCAACGTGAACTTGTGCTGCAAGTATTCTGCAAGTCTACAACGTGCCAGGAATGTGTGCAGCAAGTTAACAAGAATTACAATTCAACCCTGCCACAAGTTTCTGGCAAGCTATCCTTGCTATCTGGGTTTTATGCACATACACTAATGGCTAAAAGTATGTGGACTTCCCTCCAAATATATTGAGGTGCACAAAGCCAAGCTTATAATGACTTGGATTGACACGTTTGGTGTGTAGGGACTCAAGTGGCCTACACATAGCCCTGACCTCAACACCACTCAATATGAATTGGAAGTCTCAACCGATATCAGAACTTGACTTCACAAAATGCTCTTTTGGCTGATCATGTCTGTGAAGGTTCTCATTCATCCAGGTCATGGTATATCTGTAAAAAAATAAGTCAAGGCAACTGGACTTACTGTATTTTTCTTGAATAGGAGGTGTTAACAACCTGCCCAGAGAGAGGTGTTGTATGTGGCAGACAATAGATGTCTCACACCCCCACCTCTATTCAAGCTTGGCTTCTCAGTTGTTACATAAATGGCCTCTTTCACACCTCTTTTAAACTAAGTCTTAAACTTGCGGGTATCCAGACTGGGCTTTTGTCAAAACAGAAAGGAGAGGAAAGAATGCCAGTGAGGGTGAAAAGCATGACAAACAGAAGAAATTGGACATCCCATATGTAGCTGGGGTGTCTGAGAAACTCTGCTTTAAACCCAGCAATACACTGAGGCAACAACTGGTTCACCCAAAAGATCCAACGCCAAAACACAAGATGAACAACATTGTGTATGCAGTCCAGTGCAGTGAGGAGTGCTCAGAATTGTATGTCGGTGAAACAAAACAGCAGCTACACCAGCGTATGGCACAGCATAGAAGAGCCAAACCCTCTGGTCAGGATTCTGTTTGTTGGCACACTTCCCCTGCCGATTTCGTGCAATCTCCTTTTGACTATAGATGCATGCACTTTGACACCAAACTGTTGTAAGAGTTAGCTGCAGATAAGCAATGCAGGCTTTGGGTTATGGTAGACTTATTTTTTGACAGTCATGTTGTCTTTTGAGTTACAGTTCTTCATAATATTAAGAAACTGACCTAAAATCATTATTTTGTATTGCTTTGGAAAAAATGTGATCTGCCCCTTTAAGAAAAAGTATCGGTAATTGGTATCGGCGAGTACTTAAAAAAAAAAGTATCGGTACTCGTACTCAGACCCAAAAAAGTGGTATCGGTGCATCCCTAGTAGACTTCTTTTACATTAAGCAGTTATTATTTTCCTTACAGTGGAATGATCAATTTCAAATAATTTGGCAATCCTTTGCTATAATCATAGGCATTCACAACCTTTATTTTGAGGGCCTTAAGGTGGCCATACACTATGCGAAAATTTGCACAGTGGGCGCTGCCATCGGTACCCTTTCGGCCGGCATCCCTCGATCAGCTGATCAAAGGAGGAAGTCGAAAAATCTTCAAACGAATAGAGTGGGAAGCCAATGAGCTACCAGCTCTGTTCAGGTATTCTTGGCACGATGACACCACACGACATCACATGACAGAACACCAGAGCCTAGATATCTGTGGTTTAAATGAAACAGGTTCTACCTGCATACTACGTCAGGGGGTTCTTATCATTGGCACCAAATCTGGAACACCTGATTTACATTTTCATGGCTTTCAAATGGGCGTCAGTGTAGGGGTATACTTACTGTTTGCGTGTCACAAATATGCATTGTCATTCATTTAGATTATGGGAATGAATACACCATTTAATTTGTTCAAGTATACCACCCTATCTACAGTATATCTGTAGGGATGGTACAAACAAATGAACATTTAATGCTTGCCTTTTCAAATATGCGAAAAAAGTCTTGTACCTTCATGACTGTAAATTTTAAAGCACTAGAAAGAAGAATGTTACTTTTTTGGTCCCTAGATACACTACCATTACTTCACACAAATGCTGCAATAATAAAAGAGGACTAGTAACGCCTGACATGTCTCTACTCTATCTTGCTTATGTATCCTTCAGGAAAATTATAATTAGATTTTATAGCATGATGTTTCAAAAAACTTGGGAAAGCACAGCTGTGTGTTATATCTAGTACAGCAAAGTATTTTCTTATTTTTACAGAGAATGCTCTTATTTCCCCATATCACATGCCCTGACACAATCCATAACTCATCGTTTAAGGACCATGTGAGTCAGAAACAAGAGTGGACGCAGCTGGGTTCTTCCCTTTCAAGACACACATGGATACAAGAAGCCTTATTATGGCTGAACAGATGTACGCTTGGCAGAAAACATGTC